ACGATTTTTGCGTCACTGGCTCCAAAAATCCAAGATGTCAACCAGGAAGTAGCAAAACCCTGGCTTCATTTTCTCAGTGCAGAAACCAACGGGCGACGTCACGGTAGCTACGTCAATCTTTTATACAGTCTGTGCTTTTTTCACACGCTTTGAACACTGCGGCTTTTTATGATTTTTACGAATTTGCTTCAAGACGAAGGTGACACTAAGAGCGACAACGACAGAGAGACGTGTGGAGTAGTGAGGAAGTGTGTGACGATGTAATTCTGAGGCTGTTCAATTCTGACACTGAAGAAGACGACTTTAGTGGTTTCAGTGCGCAGGAGGAAGATGAAGATAGTGATCAATGACTTTTCAGAAAAAGAAAAAAAACATTTACGGTACGTATTTGTGTACGTTACTGGTATGTATTTGATTAAAAGTTTTAAAAAAAAAATCTTTCTGTGTAAATATCTCATGTTACAACGTGGACACCTGTGGCTAATAGAAAGGTGTGGCGAATGTGGTGGGGTTAGACCAAGGGGGGGGAGTGGAGCGTAGGAGAGAGTAATACGTGAGCTGTACCAGTATCTAGAGAACCCGACAACGCCACCTGGGGACTCTCAGTTAAATGTAAACTACCACAATTAGTCACACAGGTCACAAAGGTCACACAAGTTCGTTTGCTGAGAGAAGACAGAGACGTGATTCAAATCCAAAGAAATTGCAGTTTATTGAATATTTGGTGGAATGGTTGATTAGTAACTAGATTTCTAGAGTGCCTGCGGGAGAAGCAACCTAAAAACAAATCAAACCATTGAAATGTACAAAGATATTTATTTAATTAATGTAATTCTGTTTGACAATAAAACTATTTTAAAACAAAGGACACTTCCAGAATAAAATGAACCTGGAGAGAGAGCAAAGTGGATGGAAGCCAGCGGGGGAGAGAGGAGGCCAATTACTTAAATGTCCAGAGGTGAAACAAACCACCAACCACTCGTGAGCGCACAGCAGTCTGTCAGGATTTCCACACCAGTGTAAGATAAGGTGCCCCAGTGCTCTTACCACTACAAGCTGTGAAAGAAAACCACACAATGCCCAACCTCCACCACCAGCCGGCAACCTTGTCCACCAGCTTATGGGAATTGTCATAAAACCAGTTCGTTCCATCTAAAATACAACCAAAGGGCTAACACAGCCAAACTAAGACAGACAGGGACAAACTGAGGCAACCAAGAGCAAACAAAGGCAAAACAGCAGCTGATAAAACCCTACAACACAACAAAAGACACTACATGTTAATAACAGGCTTATAACATGATTATAACATGGTTATAACAAATTACCTTTAACAGTCACCCTTATTAACTGCTGAGTAGAATAATCATACCTTGGTGTAACGGTCTGTGTTATACGGATACTAGGGAAATCAGCAACATCCATATTAAGCCAAGGCAGGCAAACTTGGCGTAAACCTCAACCAAACAGACACCAGTACGCAGGGAAGACTGTCAAACAAATGAATGTCATCATCATGCAAATGAATTAAAGCTTGAAACAGTCAAAACCCTGTCCACAATCCTGACAACACACCTACCTCAGAGTCACAAGGAGCCCATGTGGCACTCAAACAGACACGAAAGGGCAGCCATGATGCCACAGGTGCTTTAAATACCCTCAATCAGGGGCTGGGCAATGGGAGGAGCTGACCTAAATCTGATGGTGTGTTCAAGGGCCATCTGGAAATACCAAACTTTCCCAGACACAGATGCTCCCACTACACCTACATATGTACTTTTTTTTTTTTTCTATTTAAAATT